ACATATATATGCTCTTGATTAAAGTATTGATTGTGCAGTTCATTTAAAAATGTAATGTATAATTAAGAAATATAGGTTAATAGGTAATCATCTATAATAGTCAAGCTTGTAGTCATGTTAGATTTTCTAGATGTACAAAGATGTATTTCGGATGGATAGGTATTCTTCTAATCTTTCAGAAATCTTCAGAATATGGAACTTAAAATGTTTTAAAAACTTAGGGCTTATCATGGCAGTGAGACACATCTTCACCAATTACTTTAAGAGGAAGATAGGCATTGAAGAGGTTCCTCATGGAGTTGGTTAGCCATTTGAGAAAGTAACTGCTCTTGCCTGAACTGAGAAATGACTGCTGAGCTTGCCTAAAGGTGAGACCATCCTTTACTGTTCCTGCTTCATGAAAGAGTCCGCCAGACATTCTGCAGGACACAGAAGAAACTGACTGGCAGTTTGCCAATACAGGCAGAACTATCTTTGAAATTTCCTTCTTCTTGGAAAAGTCTGCCAAATACTATTGGCCTGTAGGCTGAAGATGGATGCCCCAATGGTACAAAAGAACTTTTGGTGACTGTCCAGGCAGTGAGATGTCTCTGTCAATTCTAGAGTTTTGGAAGTTGCTACAATGCACTTCCTATTTACTTAGGTAATATTATATCCTTCTGGAGTCTTTGATGGAGTTAAGAATTTACAGTTATAGCTTTCTTTAGTTATAATAAAAGATAAAGTAGATATAAATATTGTAACTGTAATTCTTGTTTGATACCTGTTTTGTTATATGTAATTTTATTATGTTAAAGTTAAACCCTTCCAGAAAAGGGGAAATGGTCCTTCTGTCTATGTGTTGACTTTATTGTTTAATGAATAAAGAAAACTGGCTTGGCCTATAGCATGGGAGGAGGAAGGCAGAGTTAAGAGAAGCTATGGATCTGCTGCCTGAGACAGATGATGGGAACTTTAGCTGGTAAGCTACAGCCATGTGGCAATATACAGAATAATAGAGATGGGTTAGTTTAGGATATGAGTTTAGCCAGAAATATGCTTAAGATATTGGCCAAACAGTATTGCAAATAATATGGTTTTCTGAGTTTTTATTTCGTGGCTGAGTGGCGGGGACAAACAAGCAGCGCCCTTCTCAACACACTGGTAATTCCCATTAGCTGCTGGCAGAATCCTTTCAACTGTGTACGAGGTACAAAGTGTTGTCAAAGACAAAGGTCAGGATATGGAGAGCTCACAGTAAGATTACTCAAACATAAACAAACGGTAGCACGCAATGTTGGCAGTGTATGAGAACTGTAAACTAGGAACCTAGCCAACAATGATGACAAGATTTCTGTGCCCATCATTCTTAAGACATAAAATTAAAGTATACTGGGCTCCAATATAATATCTTGAAATGAAAATTCAAAATTCAAAAACAGATGATTGAATAATGGATAGCAACATACGATTACAATGACATTTTAAAAAACTATGCTCCTGTAGAATAACACAAGGCTAGGCCTATTCTAGAATGTAAAAAGACTGGTATTTTCTCAATTAATAGCAAAATCCAAAAAAACTATTCACAACATAATAAAATGACAAAGTAGCCAGTAAGAGTAAGACCCCATGAATGAGTTCTGGCAACCTACTGTGTGTAACAGAGTAATAGGTTGATTTATTGTACTCTTAAAAATTGCTAACAAAGCCGGGCGATGGTGGCGCACGCCTTTAATCCCAGCACTCGGGAGGCAGAGGCAGGCGGATCTCTGTGAGTTCGAGACCAGCCTGGTCTACAGAGCTAGTTCCAGGACAGGCTCCAAAGCCACAGAGAAACCCTGTCTCGAAAAACCAAAAAAAAAAAAAAAAAAAAAAATGCTAACAAATGTATCTTCAGTACTCTCAATGCAGAAAGTTGAATAAATATTATTGGGCTTGATTTCGTCATTTCACAACATATACATATATCAAAACACATTGTATACCTTAATACTATGTACTGCTTTTCTATTTTACCTTGATAAAGTTAAAAAAAGAAATTCAGAAGAAAAATAGGCCCAAAGAGCTTTGAAATGTGCAGCTGATTTCTCATAGTAAACAATGCGGCTATACCTTGAAGATGAAACAAAATGTTCAAGTCATACAGTCTTTGTACTTTGTGGTGGCTTGAGTGAGCATGGACCTACTGGCTCATAGATTTGAACGTTTGGTTCCTAGTTGGCACAACTGTTTAGAGAAAAATTAGGTGTTGCCTTTTGGAGATATGTCACAGGGAGTGGGCGGTGAGGTTTCAAAAGCCCAGCCAATGGACCCAGTCTCTCCTCTCTGCCTATTGCTTATTGACCAAAGTAAGAGCTCAGCTGCAGCCCCAGCGCCATTCCTGATTGCATGTTCCAGTGCCCCCTGAATGGGTCATGAACTCACCCTCTGAAACCATAAGGAAGACCTAGGCTAAATGCTTTCCTTTCTAAGTAGCTTTCGTCACAGTGCCTCTTCACAGCAACAGAAGTAATAAGACCAACTTTAAAGGAAATTATGAGATATCCCTATATAATGAAGTTATTCTAGGAAAGGAACAAAATGTAAAACCAAGATAAAGGAAACGGTAAATTTATATGTAGATATGAGTATAGCACTGAGTAACTAAAATTCTAATATGTGAAAATACAAACAGACTGGAAGTAATATGATCAATAACAGTATTTTATTAATTGAAGGTGAGATGATATATCAATAGTAATGCCTCCCAGGTTCTTTCAATTTTTAAGAAAAAAAATCAATATTTCTTATACATAACCTCAGGCTAATGATAGCTAATCTTACAGAGAAGAGCTTCTAGGCAAGAAAAAGGACTAGAGGAATAAATAAAACAATACATTAAAACTAAGGCACAAGGAAAATTAAAGTAATAGAAATTATATTAAAAATGGCAAACGTGAATGTTGTGTGATGTTTTATTCTTTTGGTTTTTTTGGGGGTCCCACTACCCAGCTCCCAAATAAACACACAAAGAGGCTTATTCTTACTTACGAACACCCAGCCTAAGCTCGGCTTGTTTCCAGACAGCTTTTCTTAAGTATCACGACTACCTTTTGTCTCTGGGATTTTTCTTTTCTTACCTGTGTATAGCCCATGTTCACTCTTACTCCATGGCTGGCTGGGTGGCCACTGGCATCCTCCTCCCCTTGTTCTCTCACTGCTCCTTCCCCTCTTCAGATCCCTCCTTCTACTTATCCTCACTATCTGCCAGCCCCACACATCCTTTCTCCCGCCTCGCTACTGGCCATTCAATTCTTTATTAGGACCATGACGTGTTTTAGACAGGCAAAGAATCACAGTTTCACAGAGTTAAACAAATGCAGCAGAAACAAAATTCACATACCTGAAAATAACATTCCCCCAACATGTGAAATCCTTTTTTATAGAACTGAGAATTATGACCTTTTAAACTATGAACAATTTTTATTAAAAAATTTTTATTATTTATTTATTTATTAAAGATTTCTGTCTCTTCCCTGCCACCGCCTCCCATATCCCTCCCCCTCCCCCAATCAACTCCCCCTCTCTCACTCAGACCAGGTTCCCTGCCCTGTGGGGAGTCCAAGGACCTCCTTCCAGGTCTAGTAAGGTGAACATCCAAACAGCCTAGGCTCCCACAAAGCCAGAATAAGTCTGGAGCATAGGCCCAGCCACTGGTATCCATCCTCCCCCCCCCCCCCAGTATATTGGTCTAAACTCCAAATCCCAGCATGCCCCAGGGAGGGGATAAGACCACTCCCACAGGGTATGTAAGTGGGCTCCCAGAGGAGAAACACGTGTGTTCTCTGCTTTCCTGTGTCCCCACCACGCACTCAGCCCCTCGAGAGCACAGTATTTAAAATGATGGGCATTTTAATTCGGTTTGATCTGACCTAATTGAATGTCTTTGCCCCGGCGGAGCCGACCCTCTCATTATTTTTTTTTGTAACAAAACTGTTGCATACAAGTGACAAATAAAAAGGATTAAGAAAGATTGAAACTCAAAACTGAGATCCAGACAAAAGTAAAGCAAAGAGAAGTGGCAAGGTCACAGGAATATTAACAAAAAAAAAAAATCTCTATTTCAAGTACAAATGAACATGAGTAGAAACATGTGAGTGTTAATGCACCAGCAAGCTCAGCAGAACTATGAAGAAAAATAAGTAAATTAGTAATCATAGTTGAAAACTTGAACACACTTCTCTCGGACCTCAGAAAACCAAGAACACATAAATAGAAAAAAAAAAATAACAAACATAATCCAGTAGAAAAAAAATTACACAATGCGAAAATAAAGAATTCCAAACCCATAGGAAACATTAAACAAAGACTATATTGAGGCTACAGCTGTTTTCCTCGCACAATAACAAATGGCAATGATGACGAATAGTATTCTCTAAAACTTAAACTACACTTCGCAGCATTACCTTTTCATAAGTGATAGAGAAATCTTACAATCATGTTTTCCCTATCCTCCCAACTCCAGTTCCCTCACATTAAAGTTCTGATGTAGAGGATTTCCTTTCAGTTTTGGATTAAAGGACATCAAATTCTGAGTCGGTTCTACCTGATGGAGGATCTTTGTGTTTACAGCCATCAACCAGGAAGCCCCAGCTGGAGGGTGTGGGCCTTTGGCCTTGACATAAAATCTGGGCAACGAGTCAGATCAAGTCCCTGGCTTCCCTCAATTCCCTTTAAAGGACTGTTCTGCTCTGGGTCAGCTGACGGCTTACCTTACAGAGATTCAGGTGGAAGGGCACTTCCCTCGCCATCTTTGTCCTCGGGCTTCGCCTCGGGGACCTGCGGCTTGTTCTGCAGGGTGCACAGCAGCTGGAGGTAGGTCTGGTTCCTAAGGGACAGAGTTTGAGTGGAGTGACAGGAGTGTGGGCGGTGGAAGGGTGAGGGGGACTGCCTGAGGCTTCAACCCAGATCCTGACCTCACCTGCGCAGCTTATCCTCTTCCTGTCCCTCTTGCAGCTTCAAGGTTTCAAGTTCCTGATTCGATTGGTCAAGCTTCTGCTGAGTGCCCGCCTGACGTTCCTTCGCCTCTGCAGAAATCTCTGCCAGCTTCTGGATACGCTTCTGAGGGGGCACAGAGAGTGCACAGGTAACTCAGACTGCTATCCTGAAGCCACACCCCCTTGTCCCCAGCTTAGAAAGAGCTAAGACTTCCTTCTGAGGGGGGTGAGGGTATAGATTTGACTCATCACAGCTGCTATCCTGGAGCCACACCCGCCATGTCCCCTGCTTAGACTGAGCTCAGGGCTCACACTCGCTGACAGAAAGGGTCCCTTATTGCTTTGAGGCAGAGAAGAGCCTGGAGAAAGGAGTCTACCTGGTGCAGCTGCCACTGCTTCTGAGCTCTTTCCAGTTTTTCCTCAAGTACTTGCTTCTGCAGGGAGAAAATGATGACTTCTTATGTTTGGGTTCGGAGACAGTGCTAAATCCAGCCCAGCTTACCCCTTCCTCCCTCCGGGCTTTCCTTCTCTCAAGTCTTCTAGGTGTACCTTAGCCTGAAGTTGCTTGTATGCCTCCTGGAGCTCAGTGTACTTCCTTTGGGCCTCTTCTACCTGGGGCAAGGCCTGGGTCAGGGCACATTTCATGGCTTCCACGTGATCCTGGTACACAGCCTTCAGTTCCTTCCATTGCTCTTTTGCTTCAGTGGCCTTCTGGCCTAAGATGGGCCACAAAGAACAAGTGCATGAGGGAGAATGGCCTGCAGCTGGCCTCCTATAACCCTGGGCCACAGTCCTCTCATGAGCTAGACACAGACATAACTCACATCCTCCCTCTTCAACCATTTAGATCAGACCCCACCACAAATACTCACGACTTGTGTCTTCAGAAAGCAAATTGTCTGGGCTCTGGGCAGTATCTTCCTGAGCCAGAAAAATCTGTAGGAAGTTGACTACCTGAAGCTGGCTGCAAAGCAGCTTGTCTTTCTTCCGGGAGTTCTGTTCAGAGCGAGGAGAGAAGCAGGGACTAGCCTTACCTTTGGACACTGTACGCCAAGACTGTCTTCCACTTTGTTCTTTGCCAGTGTTGCCCGCTATCTCAATAGGCAATCCTAGGACCAGCCTCTACTGAAATGCTGGGTCCCACCTTAATACATACCCTCACGAATTCCTCCATGATCCGGGCTGGCAGTTCTGTTTCTTCCTGCAAGCCTACAGGTTCTAGAATGCCTTCTACCTCAGCAAGGACCCTGTAGAAAACAAGTGAGGGCGTGCACAGTAGCTCTAAAAGACATGCGCACAGGCATACATGTCAGGGACTGTACAAGGCTTTCTTCTGAGTCCTTAAGCAGCTCCCAAATCATGACACACCCCCTGAAGCCACACCCCCCAAGTCCCCTGCTTACAAAGAGCTGCAGGGCTCAGACTCCCTTCACGGGGAGGGGAGGGGAGGGGAGGGGAGGGGAGGGGAGGGGAGGGGAGGGGAGGGGAGGGGAGGGGAGGGTGTAGTTGCGACTCCTCACAGCTGCTATCCTGGAGCCATCCCACCCCCCCACCCCCACCCCCCCCCCCCGCCATGTCCCCTGCTTAGACTGAGCTCAGGGCTCAGACTCGCTCAAAGAAACGGGTCAGGGTTCATACTCGCTGAGAGAAAGGGTCTCTTATCACTTTGAGGCAGAGAAGGGCCTAGAAATTCCACTGTTGCTGGGCGGTGGTGGCGCAGGCCTTTAATCCCAGAGGCAGACGCAGGCGGATCTCTGTGAGTACGAGGCCAGCCTGGTCTAGAGAGCGAATTCTAGGGCAGTCAGGGCTACAGATAAACAACATCCCTCTGAGGTCGAACTCCTGGGACAGGATGACACAATCGCTTAAAGGCCGCACTCCCGAATTAGAGTGGCATTGTTCCTCCTAAGCCGCCGGCCTAGACGCCCCCACCCCCCGCGCTCACTCTTTGGTCGCCCCCGACAGCCCCAGCCGCTGCCCTAGTCGCTCGCCCCCCTGGCACTCACACTTCGGCCGCCGCCACCGTCTCCAGCCACTCGCCCCCTCCCCCCAACCCGCACTCACTCTTCGGTAGCCTCCGCCTGCTTCTCAGGAGCCGCCATAGCTCTCTGCGAGCAGCACCTTGGGATGCTCCTAAACTCCGCGCCGAGGCAAGCGATTGGCTTCTGTGTTGGTGGGCGGGACTCTAAGGAAGGGAACCTCGTTTTCATTGGCCATAGGCCGACTCCGGACCCGCCCTTGACGCACACGCAGATGTGACTGAAGCCTGTGGGCGGGCTGCAGGTTCTGCGCCTGCGCGATAGGCAGTACTGCCGACGAGTGTCAGTTCTGGCAGTGGCTGCAGAGAGAAGAGGATTTTTTTTTTTAAACGTTTTCTTTTCTTTTTTTTTTATTAATTAAGTTTTAAGAAAAATATTAAGTTTTACTGCTTTCAAGTAGACTTAATAGCTATATTTAACACTTAGGCGTACTTTAATGAATAGACATTAGATTTTTCAACATGCTTCCCTCTCTTCAAAAGCTGTTTGTGTTTTTTTTTAACTTTTTTTTTATTGAGAAAAGAAAAAAAAAAACATTTCCTCCCAGCCTCCCATTTCCCTCCCCCTCCTCCCACCCTTCTCCCCCTCCCCCACTCCTCTCCCCCTCCCTCTCCAGCCCAAAGAGCAGTCAGATTTCCCTGCCCTGTGGTAAGTCCTAGGTCCTCCCCCCTCCGTGCATTTCTAGGAAGGTGAACATCCAAACTGGCTAGGCTCCCACAAAGCCAGCACATTACGTAGGTTCAAAACCCCGTGCCATTGTCCTTGGCTTCTCATCAGCCCTCATTGTTCGCCATGCTCGGAGAGTCCAGTTTTATCCCATGCTTTTTCCGTCACAGTTCAGCTGGCCTTGGTGAGCTCCCAATAGATCAGCTCCACTGTCTCAGTGGGTGGGTGCTCCCCTAGTGGTCCCGACTTAAACGTTTTCTTTTTTAAACTTATTACGTCCAAAGAAAGGAAGTGTGGCTGTCCTCCAGGACGCTGAAGAATATTGGTCTTATATGTAAATTCTAAGAGTCCAAAATATTGTGCTTTGAAACATGTTATCCAGACCCCAGCCGAACCAGCAGGTTCTCCTGTGTTGACCAGATACAGCTGAAATAACAGTACAGAAGGAGAAAGCTTCCCCCTGAGAACCTAGAGCCAGCAGAATTCTTGAAATCTTCAAAAATCCTGAGCAACAGGATTTTTCCTAAGGTGTTGATAAAGGTGCTTGGAGATGAAGCAGTCGCTATCAGTTACCGTTTTCACAAATCGGGATGGAAAAATGCATGATCTATGGTAAGATGATAGACCCCTAAGAAGTGTTGCCCTCGAGGGGCAGTGATAATTAACACTGGACTGAGCACTGCTGTAGTGTTATCTAGCAGATTAAAAGAACGTGACCAACTAAACTGCAACATTGACTATGAAGCAAGTTACTCTGTTCCCTTTATAATATCTGAGCTTGACTTAATTATTACCAGGCATGACTAGAAGAAAATTCATGGCTAGAAAAAAATAGGATGAGAAATGAAATGGATGTTAGGACAGTAGAAAAGCAAGTAAATCTCACTTTGCTTGTGAGAAAACCTATCTTTATGTTCCAAAAGGATGAGCAGAGTGTACAGAAAGCAAGGTGTGGCACAAATGTGGAGGAGGAGGAACGTTCGCGTTGCTGTTGGGAAGGCAGAATGGCACGTGCTTTTGAAAACAATGAAGCCTTTCCTCAGAGTGCTAAAACATAGGATTATGGAATGAGCCAGAATTTCCCAAGCATAACTACAAAAGAAATCAAGATATAAACCCAACATGCCTACAATACACAAAAGTCTGTAAGAACCGAAAGTAGAACAAAAGCACCCTGATAGAGGGAATGAAGAGATGCTCATATCACCCAGGTAATATAAATTGGTAATAACAAGGACTGGGGCCCTCGTATGGTAAACTAGCAAAGGCCTTGGAAACGATGGAGTGAAAGGAACCAGGTATCCAGGTATCAGAAAACCTCTGCAGATTTTCTTATTTCTTTTACATGAGGTATCCAAGCAAGGTAAATCTTTGAAAGTAGATTAATACTTGACCAAGGGGTGGGAGAGGGGACCGGAAGTGGGGAACAGACAATTAATGAGAGGAACTGGAAAGGAAAAAAAGAGTTTCTTTTAAATGGGGGATTAATTTTTAAAAAGTTCTAAAATTAGGTTATGGTGAACATTGAACAACATATACAAAAAGCCATTTTTATGCTATAAACAAATATCCACAAAGTCATTATTTAGAGATGTGGAAAAAATAAAGGCCAGGCAGCCTTGTGGAGATGGACGCACTGCATTGTACTATGTGAAATTAGATGGTCTCAATGACAGAGTAAACATGAAAATTAAATCAATAAAATTTAAAACAAACCAGCCAAAATGAGCTGCTGAGTATCTTATTAAAAAAAATAACACAGGCAAAACAGTCAGCTGAGACACGAGTTCTTACAACTTGATTTACTTGTAAATACAGTTCCTGAATAAGGGAAAAAGCAAACAAATGAGTACTATCAAAAAACCCCATATTGAAATTTTATTATAAATCCAAACACGTCCAAAGCTCCTAATACAGTGGTTCTCAACCTTTCTAATGCTGTGACCCTTTAATACCGTTCCTCATGCTGTGGTGACCCCCAACAAGAAGATTATTTTTGTTGCTATTTCATAACAATTTTGCTACTTTTATGAATCATAATGTTATTATCTGTGTTTTCCAATGGACTTAGGCAACCCCTGTGAAAGGGTCATTTGACCCCCTGTAGGTTGAGAATTACTGCCCAAACACAAGAAACATGAATAAAACTGCCATTGCATGTCATAATTACTTCAGTTTATCCAAGACCATTAATAAAAAGAAAATGCCTAGGCAAGCAACCAAAGAAGGAAGAATGTTACATGTAGAGAAACAAAGATAATGAGTACTTGGAATTTTTCTTAGCTATAGTGCAATGAAAAGGCAGTGGGACAACCGTAAAGTCCTGTTAGAATAGGCAAGCCAGCCTTGAGTTCTATAAGCAGCAAACTGCCTTCAAAATGATGGTTAATGAAAGGCATTTCTCGTGTGGAAGTGGAAGTGGTTTTTCAGATCCACACTGTATAAGGAATGTAAAATGCATTGGTCATATGAAAAAGTGACATATTAAAATATGAATATGTACAGAAGAGTAGAAAGCACCAGACATGGTAACTATATGAGGAACTATGTCTCTTCTTAATATTTAAATTTTTTTTCTTTTTTTTTTTTTTTGTTTTTTTTTTGTTTTTTCGAGACAGGGTTTCTCTGTGGCTTTGGAGCCTGTCCTGGCACTAGCTCTTATAGACCAGGCTGGTCTCGAACTCACAGAGATCCGCCTACCTCTGCCTCCCGAGTGCTGGGATTAAAGGCGTGTGCCTACACCGCCCAACAATATTTAAATTTTTATAAAATACGTATTGATAATTTCAGACAAAGAATGGATGTCATCATACACATAGATTTTTAAAATATGCTCTAATCTTAACATCCAAATGGCCAACAACACTTCAGATCCTAACATGCCCTATGTATGTCCCATCCTCAAAGCCCAATATTAGCTAAGAGAGGCATATCTCATCAGAGACTGTATTTTCCCTATTACAGAGGACTTCAATTAGCTTGCTTGACGCACAATTCATGGCAATGCAAAGCACACACTCTGGAATAAAAGGAATTCAAATTTGTTCTGAGTTCAACCACCTAGTACATCGATGACCTTGAATAAAATTACTTAATCGAGAATTTAATTTTGTCACTTATTAAGGAGAATAAGGATAAGAATGTTTCTTTTAATAATTAGGAGAAGATTTTCTTTTGGAACACCCATAAAAGGTACTTCTCAAAAGTTTCTGACACTTTTGACGCCGAGTAGTAGCATAAAGTGTTAACACTTTGGTTTCTGTGCCTGTCGGCTCCCTATAGCAGTCATGTGCAAATGGAAGTAGAATATGAAAAACTGCTTAAATTTCTTGGGGAAATTCTTTTTCATAATATTCTTTTACATAATAACTTAGGAGATGTTTAGGGAGGTAAAAGATGAATTAGATCATTGTCCAGTTTGCTATGATTCACAACATTTCCCTTTCAACGTTTGCTGCCATTTGTTTCTCAGTTGTCAAGTTAAACCATATACTTAAAACTCTAATTTTGAGGAGTTTCACTGAAACCACAATTAAGAAATAGCTGCCGAAATGCTAAATATTTGTCTCAGAAATGATATCACTATCCTTCCGTGAACCACTACTCAGAAAGTTGGTGTGGGTGTAACATTAGCCACAACTATGGTTTTCTGGAATTTCCAAACCAAGATAGTCCATTGTGTTTTCGAAAGGACCTTCATGTTCAGCATCTAAATTGCAGTTCCTAAGGCAATTCTTGTCTTGGGTTGCTAGTTCCAGGGGAATAGATTCTGCCTCCCACGCTGTTCAATAGCTTGTTTAGTCCATCACTCCTCTTGCTATGCTCAGCATCTATGCAGTTTGGACACGGACCACCTGACCTGAATTGCAAGCCCTTGTGAGAAAGGAATGACTTACCAAAAGCAAATCCTTTTTTCAAACCCACTGAATCCTTCCTAATAAGTCTAGCCTTGCAGCTTCTTACTCTGTTGTCTGGCAGAAAAAAGTCAAAACACTATCAGGAGAGTGAAAGTCAGTGTTATTATGCATGTTATACTTACTATCACGTTGAATTTGTTCTGGTTGTTTTCCATCTAATTTGAAAGGGATTTTGTGCTGCCTTGTCCCCACAGATCCTCACAATCACTTTGCAAAGACCTATCTTAATCTCCATAGTCAAGCCAAATGCTAAGTTGATTGACCTCATTCCACAGTCATCAAGAGAGACCATAAACAGGTGTCCTGGGAGAGACAGAAAGAACAAGACCATCCACAGTTCCCCTGGCCTATCTTATCCACGTCTTTCTCCGCTATGGCATTGCAATATTGCTAGAGAGGTACCCAATACCCCTGGGGAAGTTTTATTTAATCGTAATAGAAACAATCAGTGAGTAATGGGGGCAAGCTAATAGTTCCATTTAATTTAAACGTTTAGAAAAATGCAATGTCATTTGTTAGCATTCACCCCTTTCTTTTTCTCTGTTTATCATTAAGTATTCCAAAACAATTTGGTTTGGACAGTTGTGCTAGTTTTTCAGGTAATTTCTAACTCAAAGAAAAACCATGGTGATAATATTGGTGTCCGTTATCTCATTATGATAATGTACTGGAATAGTATAAAATAATGAATTACTGGGTATTATTATTAGTTACCTGTGTAGTTTTAATTTTACATAGTGTTTAAAGCTATGTCTCACAGTATTGCATAAGCTTACCACAAATTTGAGCTCAAGCAATCCTTCCGCTCTGACTTCCCTGATATCTTCCCTGCAGGTTTATGCCACTACATCTGGCTCATTTTCATTTTACCAAATGGTATTACTCCAAGAAAATTAAATGATAAATTGATCTTAGCCCAATATATCACAGTTATAGTTTATGATTCTTATGTTCACATACTTAATTTTACTGTAATAATACAAGCATGACACAAAGATTTTTCTCACCTGTTGAGAAGCAGAAAGTTCGCAGTTCTTATACTTGGACTTAGAGCACTGACATAGTAAGTAAGGTTTTGAGTGTGCTCGTGCGCGCAAGGTAAGCATTGAGGTTCAGCCTTGCACAAACTGCTCTTCAAGTGGTTCAGGACCATTTGATGAAAATTTGCTCTTCAACTTCGAGTGGCTTTGGCATTTTAGTGCAAAATGAAATGGAAAATATCTACCTGGATCTAATCCTGGACTTTCTATTCTTTTTTTTTTTTTTTTTTTTTTTTGGTCTTTTCGAGACAGGGTTTCTCTGTGGTTTTGGAGCCTGTCCTGGAACTAGCTCTGTAGACCAGGCTGGTCTCGAACTCACAGAAATCCGCCCGCCTCTGCCTCCCGAATGCTGGGATTAAAGGCGTGCGCCACCATCGCCCGGCTGACTTTCTATTCTTGTAGAAATTATTAGTATGCCCATTTAAAACAATTAGCATCTTAATTACTATCACATTGCTTTAATGGCTGCATATTTGCATTAATAGTTGAAAGGGGTCAGGGTATATCTTTGAGATTCATTTATTTCCCAAATATTGGAGATACTTACGGTTCTTGCATTTCTTTTCAAAGTGTATGATTGACTTTATGAATATTCTTCTTCAAACTTGGATTACCTTTTATTCACTGTGCAAATAAAGTTCTGAGAATGCCTTCTCAGCAATAATGAGCATAGAATTGACTTAGGAACATTGTAATTGTGAGTGTCTTTTTGCTATATTTCATAACATCTGGAAATGTATTTATACTGTTCAGATCAAGCATGGTTTCAGTTTGGTGAAATCAAATTCTTAGAGAATTTTATTGATTTCTTTAAAATGTCAAGATTGTTGGGATGGAATTATTTGCATTTTCAAGTTAATATTTTTTAGTGTCTGGATCATCCATAGATATATCTTCACTTTTGTTCTTTAGAGACAATCTGTTGTGGTCTTGTTCTCTGCACTCTCTTTATATATGTTAGATCAGGCCCTTTCCAGTTATTCTAACTGGAGTTTTTACCTGTTTGTAGAGTTATTTCTTCAGCACATTGGCTTTATTGAGTTGTTCGCCCTGCATCTCTGCTATCACCATTTTGGGTTTGTATCCTTAATAATAATAGTAGCTGTAGCTGCTGTTGTCATGTTAAATCACGTTATACAATATTAATGTGCTCCCTGAAAGTTCATACATATATACAATATATCATAATTACTATCACCCCTCACCCTCTCTTATGTCCCTTCCTCTGCCCTGAACAGCGGCCTCCTCCCTATTAAACATAACCACATTCTTGTCAACCAAAGGCTACATTATATTTTGAATGGACTCATTTTCTAGAATGTTCTGTGCATGTGAGTTGGAGCCTGTCTTGGTCCACAGTGCTACTCAGTCTCTCTTGCTTGGTACTGTTGGAAGCCTGGAAGTGAAGCTCCTAGGAAGACCTGTGGATTTCTTCTGCTTCCAGTCAATTTGGAGTTTTCACCTTCTGAACTCTGAGCCGTGTACGATGGGGCATGCATGTTTAGAGTTTTTCAATCTTTTTTATGGAGTCATTTTTAATAATTATAATAATTCATTTATAATAAGATTTATTATAATACAATCCACTTATTTTTTTTAGAAATTTATTCTGTTTCTGTGTTTTTTATTGGAAACAGAGTTTTTTTCATACAATATATTCTAAGGAAGGTTTACTCTCACCTCACTCCTCCTAGATCCTCCCCAACTTCCCCCCAATCATCCAAATTCATACTCTTTTTTCCTCCCTCTCATTAAAAACAGCCAATTTAACAAACAAAACAGAATAGGACAAAAGAGACAGATGAAAAGAGCCAAGGCAAAAGCATAAACAACTCAGACAGATGCAGAGTCAATACAATTTCACAAACAGAAATCTCGTAAAACCACAAAACCAGAAACCACCATGTAGGAATAAGAGACTTGCATAGAAAAAAATAGCTGGGATTAATCATTATGAGGGAAAATAACCTTTAAAATATTACAAAATATCATTTTTGTGTTAGCCATGTACTGCTTAGCATGGGACTTGCCCCTAAGTGTAGTTTACACACCCAATGAGACTACATTGGAGAAAACTAATCTTTCCTTTGCAAGTGATTGTTAACTGGAGATAGCTTCCGGGTTTGGAGTGTGGGCTTGTGTCTTCTTCCCCTCTTGGTACTGGGGACCTCATCTACCTTGCGCATGTGCAGGCCACTGCCTGCTGCCAGGGTTTCTGTGAGTTCGTATTTGTGTCAGCTCTGTTGTGTCTAGAAGGCCTCATCCCCTGATGTCTTCCATCCCCACTGGCTCTTACAATATAATACTTCTACCTCCTCTTCTGCAGAGCTCCCTGAGTCCGGAGGGGAAGGATTTGATGGAGACATCCCACTTAGGACTGAGCATTCCAATGTCTCTCACTGGCTATGGATTTCTGTATTTGCTTTCGTCTACTACGGAAAGAAGTTTCTCTGCTGATGGTTGAACAAGACGCTGATTTGTGAGTAAAGCAGAATGTGGTAAGGAGCCATTTCATTGCGTGTTCCTTTAGTTCAACAACAGTCGTCGGTTTTCCCCTAGGTCCATGGCCTCGTCTAGTCTAGTCTCAGATTCTTTGCCACCCAGGTAGTATGGGACACACATTCCATCTCTAGAGTAGATCTTAAATCTAATCATGTAGTGGCTGGTTACTCCCAACTTTGTGCCACTATTGCTCCAGAGAATCATTCAGGCAGGTCGTCACTATAGATTGAAGGCTTTGTCGCTGGGTTGATGGTTGCCTTTCTCCTCTGGTAGCATGCAGAATACCTTCCAGTACCGTGGGTACTAATCAGTAGGGTAAAGTCTCTAAGTAGGCACCAGATTGACTTAGTTCCAGTTTTAATTTAATTAGATTCACATGGTAAGTAGGCCAGTTTTTTTTTTTTTTTTTTTTTTTTTCGAGACAGGGTTTCTCTGTGGCTTTGGAGCCTGTCCTGGAACTAGCTCTGTAGACCAGGCTGGTCTCGAACTCACAGAGATCCGCCTACCTCTGCCTCCCGAGTGCTGGGATTAAAGGCGTGCGCCACCATCGCCCGGCAGTAGGCCAGTTTTTATTAAGGTATATAGTGATGTGTGATGTCCTTTTGTATATGTGATGTTTTTATTGGTTGGTGAATAAAACTGTTTTAGCCAGTGGCTTAGCAGAGTAAAGCTAGGTGGGAAGTCCAAACAAAGATACAGACTGAGAGAGTAGGCAGAGTCGAGGAGATGCCACGTAGTTGCTGAAGGAGTAACATGCTGAACCAGAAAGCCATAACCTCGTGGCAGTACACAGATTAATAGAAATAGGTTAATTTAATAGTGAGAGCTAGCCGGTAAGAAGCCTAAGACATTGGCCAAACAATTGTAACTGATAATAAGCCTCAGAGTGGTTATTTCATAAGCAGGTGCAGGAACTAGTGAGGGGGAGCCGGTGGGTAGAGAGAACCCATTCAAGTGGGACCAGGCAAGATGGAGAAAAGCCTCTGTCCTCATCATAGGCCATGGTTTCACATACTGTTTCTTCTAACCTGACTGTTTTGCTTAAAGTAAACATCTTAAAAATAACATATACTTTATCATATATTTTAAGCTACTTTGCTAAATCTGTCATAAATTAGTATATTTAGAAATTTTAACACTGAAAGTGTTAACTATATGCTTTAGATATATGTCATCTTACAGAAGGAAACTAATAATTTCAGTTATTTTTGCTGTTAGATATGAAATGCTATTTAGTCATTTTGCATAGTTTCTACTTATTTGTTGTGACTTTCTATATTTTGATTTTGAGAGAATTTCTACATGATTTCTAAAGCATTATTACATATTTCAGAAAAATTCAATATGATTTATTTCTCTATTGGCATTTGATGATTGCATTTTCTAAGTTGAAATCCTTCTTTGTTTGAGCATATTAATTTTAATTGTTTCTCCTACACTTTCATTACTTTCTTAGACTACTTTTTTTCTAAGTCTTATATTTTAGCAGCAGCTATGATGCCAACTGTAATCTGTGATTTCCAATTTTTTTTTTTTTTCGGGAAGTGTAATTCTCATTCTCATACGCTTTCACAGTGCTAATCCTGTCTGCTCTTGGGGCTCCTGTTTAGCCCAATAGGAGCCATCTGTGGGGCCACAGGGCCACCTTCTGAAAAGGCAAGCAAGCATTAGACCTTAGTCTCCTCTGCCTCAAGTAGAAGTCAGGAGACAAGGCTTTGCTTGCTGCTGCTGGGTGCAGATGGGGCTCTTTCAGCTCCAGTTCTGCATGGGGTAGGGCATCTCTGTGGCTTTGCTTCCTCTGCAGAGGAGGGTGTGGAGTCGATCTGGCATGAATGAGGACCGGCTGGGCAGAAGCTGTTAAAGAGGCAGACCACACACCTCTGTGAAGTTCCTGAAGCTAGTGTCTCCTGGGCTGGGAGGATTGGCTGTTTTGATTTTGATTTGTTTTTGTTTTTCTTTTTCTTCCATCTGTGCTGGCAGTTCATTGCCCTAGGCCACTTCAGCACCTGTGCTATCTGAGAGGTGGGAAGGAAACCCAGGAAAATCAGCACCCTCAGGGCTGTCGGCCTTCTTTCCCAGTCTCAGAGGTCTCTGGTTGTCTGTTAAACCTTTCCAGTATGGAATTATGCCTAAAGAGGAGTCACACAAAGACGTGAATTGATTTCATCTTGTTTCTGAATGCTCAGCTATTGATTTTACAGCGGGGGTTGGTAAAGTTTTCAAAACATAGACTTGCTATATAGCCCAAGCTGGACTTGAGCTCATGGTACCTCTGCTGTTGGTGTTATAGGCATTTCCACACCTGATGTTATTTTTATTTTATGAAGAATTGGCAGTAATTGTAGAGAATCCTGAGCATTGGAAAATAGTGTATTAAAAATGAATTGAGAAGTTACTACATGAGAGAAAGGAAAAGAAGGAGGAAGGGAGGAGAAAAGAAAAAGAAAGTAAAGAAAGGGAGCAGAGAAGAGGGGAAGGGAAATGAAGGAAGGCAATGGAGTAGATTAACACATTATGTGCCAACAGATTACAATTTGTCTTAACAACAATATAGAATTTTCCTCAATAAATGTCAATTCTGTCACCACACTTTCTTATTTCTAAAGGCTTTGCTTGTAATATCTGACCCTTACTACCCGTGTACACGCTAGATCTTAAACGATACTATACTGATGCACTTCGTAAATGTGGTTCTGGGAAAACTTACAGCTACAGCTCTGGAGACAACATACAAACTCGAACACAGCTTCCGAGCAGACAGAGGGGAAGCAAGGCATGGAAGTGGTGTGAAATAACAGGGTTCCTTGACTGCCCAAAGCCAGGAATGTGTGAGTACGAAGAAAAGGAGTTTCCAAACCCGAAGGACAGCAGAGCTCTTATCGGTGAGCAGATGGTCACACACTTTGGTTGTCAAAATACACTTATACATCGAGGGAAATCTACTCAGTGGCTATTACCTTAGGGCATCAAGGACAAACACGCCACGGCTAATGCCCATCCAACTGTTTGTGCAGTCTGTGCCCTTGTTGGGACTTCTGTTCTGAGTCTAACGGATGCTTCCTGGCATAACTCTTGCTACTCTCTGCCTTGATGACTGGCAGAGCAGATCCCTCCAGGGCCATTACACTTGAGCTTTTCTTAATAAGTTAAGCCACTGTGGGAAAGTTGAAGATTGCTGTGTGACCTCTTTTCCCTAACTCACTGAGGACAAGGTATCAAGAGCATCAAAGGATGACAAGAAAAACGGTTTTGCAACTGAGAACAAATGGTCAGCAAAAGAAAATATATAAACGCATAGCCAAAATGATAATTTAAGCTAATATCATAAACAAATTTTATAACCACAAATATTATAGAATTACCCTTAGCAAGTGTGTAGTATAATATATGAACACACATGACAACATGCTGGTTCTTAAATGCAAATAAGAAGACATATAATTAATATAAGAGCTTTGCAAATGCTTTTCCCAAATGTAACTTGAACTTTCTAAAATCAAATCTTATTGTTTATTAAGCTTTTATTCTATTTTTTTTTTTCGAGACAGGGTTTCTCTGTGGCTTTGGAGCCTGTCCTGGAACTAGCTCTGTAGACCAGGCTGGTCTCGAACTCACAGAGATCCGCCTGCCTCTGCCTTCCGTGTGCTGGGATTAAAGGCGTGCGCCACCATCGCCGTAAGCTTTTATTCTAACGTGTGTTATTAGTATTAGGTAGGGAACTATGGATGGCAGAAGACAACTTTGTGGAGTTGGCTGTCCTGTGGCGTCTTGTGCTGCTGTTCTTTCCATGTTTATTTTACACAAATGCATGCAACACACTGCATGTCCTGTGGAGATCATGATGTAGCATGTGGATAAAGTTAATATGAAGGATTCAGTTTGGTGAATTGAGTCTCCAAACCCTGCAAATGGTTTATTGATACATTAGGATAGAGACTCTCATTTCAATTTTATTCTCCTCTTAACTCCACATCTTTTCCCAACTTGAACTTCCTATTCAAAAGAAAATGGTTTCCCTTCTCCTTAACTTTCCATCCACTCTCTCCTAACTGAAATATTCTCATATTCTGGACCTTAACAGTGATAAGTAAAGTTCCCTTTACTTAAAAAAAAATTGAAATCAAAGTTCAGTTGTCTCAGAGTTCCTGTTGATATGCTGAAACACCATGACAAAGCAACCTGGGGAGGGGAGAAGGGTTTATCTAACTTATGCTTCCACATCACTGTTCATCACTGGAGGAAGTGCGGACAGGAGCTCAAGCAAGGTGGGAGCCTGGAGGCAAGAGCTGCTGCAGAGACCCTGGAGGGGTGCCGCTTACCCTCATGGCTTGCTCAACCTATTTTCTTGTAGAAGCCAGGACCCCAAGCCCAGGGGCAACAGTCACAATAGGTTGTGCAGTTCCACCTCAATTGCTAAGGAATGCCCTACAGTCTTGCCCACAGCCTGATCTTAAGGAGACATTTTCTCAGCTGAGGCTTCCTCCTCTCTAATGACCTTAGTTTGTGTCAAGTTGGCATAAAACTACTCAGCATGTACAGTAATTATATTAGTTTTTTTCCTCTTTTCTCCCTCTAACTCTTCCCAGGTAACCCTCCAATCCTTGCTCACTCTCCAAATCATGACCTCTGGCCTGTTATCCTCTAACTGATTACACAAGCGTGTATGTGCGCACACACGCGCACATGTGTACATACAGACACACACACACACACACACACACACACACACACACACACCTGCTTAGTCTATATAATGTTATAATGACCATTTGAAGTTGGATAACCAATTTGTGTGCACTTCTTACCTTGATAGACTATTTTTTTTCTTTTCTTTTTCTTCTTCTTCTTCTTCTTCTTCTTCTTCTTCTTCTTTTTTTTTTTTTTTTTTACTTTCAACATTCCTTAGTTACCTGTAGTTCTTGGTCTAAGGTTCGGGACTCATGAACTTTCCCCTTTTGCATGCTAACATGTTAGCTGGTAGTGTCCCGGTTCAGGT